GGGTAAACACAGTGTCCTCGTCTGCTGAGCTTTGCTCTGAGTAAAGAGATTCTAGTTTGTCTTGATCATTCAGATGTAAGGATGTGATCATTCTTATGGCTTTCTGAGCTTTGTTTGGACAGGTCTAACATGAAGATTAATGGAAAGCTATGGGAAGATGATATGACAAAAACTGGTTTCTGAGGTCTTGAAAGGAAGTCAGGGATGAGGTTGTTTTTTCCTTTAATGTATTTAACAGATCACAATTCCACATCACATACACAATTCCATATCACATACTCAACAGATAAGTCTAACAAAATAAGGGTTTACACATCCCTCACACAATTCTCCATGAATACTCATTATAACAATTGTACTATCCATACCGCGAGCCGAGCTCCCAGCTCGGCATCACAATGCATGACGACCTCAGTTACGCGCTATGTGACGTCAGCTCGTCACTTAACCATATCATAACTGATCTGAGGAGATCTCGGTCCAGAAGAGATCCGATATCTAGTCAAATCACAACTGATCTCAGGCCCAAGGCCCAATACAACCCCAATTCACAACAAGGTACGTGCATTACTTATACGAGACTTATACACACACAAATCCTAACTTTAGCATCGGAGTCTCTTTTGCAGGTACCACCCCCATCTTGGAACACCAGCGTACCAGTGAAGGAGGCTCACCAATCTTGCTTGGAGAATCAACCCTACGACAAATTCCCAGTAAGAACATTTGGCGCCCACCGTGGGGCCGATCAAGATAGCTCTTATCGGCCACGCTTATGGTATTCACCAGAAGCCATAGTAGACGCGCGACAGATCACTCAATTGCCATGGAAAACGAAGCCACGTTCAGGAGACTGATTGACCAGGTCGAACAGATGCGGCAGCAACACAACGCTGATCTGCGCAACATGCGTGCCCAACACGAAACCGACCTAGCTGCAATGCGAACCGCCAACGAAGCTGACCTAGCGGGGCTACGCGCTGACAACGAGCGGATTCGCGCCCAGCTCCCTCGACGCCCCTCCGATCATCCTCCTGAAGCAAGCAACTTCCACGAGGAAGAAGAGCATTCGGTCTCCCAACCCTGGACCGCGACTAGGGCACCGACTCCACGACCTACCGTGCATCGATCTCACGCGCTGACGAACAAGTTGGCCCATGAAGTCAGCAAGGCCCCAACACATGTCACAGGGGGTCAAGCAACTTTCCGCCGTCATACCTTCGTGGATGGCATCATGGAGACACCACTCCCTCAGGGGTGGAAGCCTCTCCATCTCGATCGCTACGATGGCACGACGGACCCCGATGAGCACATCGACCTGTACACGACACAGGTAAATCTCTACACTAACAATGATGCTATATTGTGTAGGGTTTTTCCGACTTCGCTCAAGGGGGCCGCACTCAACTGGTACACCCAGCTTCCCGTTGAGTCAATCGATAGCTTCAGCACTAAGGCGATTCACAGCGCAGTATGCGACGACCCGACCTCACCATATCACTTTGGCCACCCTGGCCAGTCTCAGGCAGAACGACGACGAGCCACTTCGGACGTTCATGGAGCGATTTGCAGCCACCTCGGTTAAGATCAGAAATCTAAACCCCGAGGTCGCCCTGCACGCCATGCTCATGGCACTCAAACCTGGGCCCTTCGTCGACAGCCTATGCCGGGAGGCTCCTCACGACATGGACGAGCTTCGCGGCCGGGTAGCGGGCTACATCCAGATGAAGGAGCACTCCGCTTTCCGTGACCAGGTTCGTGGCAAAGGACCAGTAAAGCCAGAACAGGGCCACAAAGACAAAATCAAAGTCGACAACGACAACCAGTTCAAAAAGTTGGCTAGGGCAAACAGAGGGGGAAGATATGACTTCTACACTCCCCTGAACGCACCCCATGTACACATACTGGAGGAGGCCAGTAACAACAACCTGCTCACCCTACCATCACCGAGTCACACCCCAAACAATTCCGACAAATCCAAGCACTGTTGGTACCACAGAAATCACGGTCACACCACTAAGGAGTGCCGCTCTCTCCGGGACCGTATTGAAGAACTCATCCAGGCGGGCCACCTCAGCCAATATGTCCAGCGACAACAGGGTCACCGAGGAGGCTATGGTGGACGAGGACAAGGCAGAGGCCGTGGTTCAGGAGCTCGCACGGACCAACCCTCTGGCTCTCAGCAGCATGCCGGCGGAGTAGTACAAGCCGAGGTAAGCCAAGAAACAGGGTCAGCTCCCCTACTGGGAGTTATCAATACAATTGCAGGTGGCTTTACAGGGGGAGGTGCCACCAGCTCGGCCCGGAAAAGACACCTGCGTAACATCAACACTGTCCATTCCGCTACCTCGGCTTTGCACCAAAGTTCACCGCCGATCACCTTCATCGACAACGACTATACCGGCGTCAGTCCCAACCAGGATGATCCCATGGTCATAGCCGTGGAGGTGGCAAATTAGGAGGTGCACAAGACACTGATAGACCAGGGGAGCTCAGTAGATGTCCTATATTGGCCGACCTTCCTCAGGTTAGACATCCCCCACTCTCTTATCCAACCTCATACAGAACCCCTAGTCAGTTTTGCAGGAGAATGAGTTCACACTCGGGGGTACGTGGACCTGCTGACCACCTTCGGAACCTCTCCGGACACAAGGAGAATCATGGTCCGATACCTCCTTGTGGAGGCCAACACCTCCTACAACATCATCATTGGGAGACCTACGTTAAATCAGCTTGGAGCAGTGGTGTCCACTCCACACCTCACTATGAAGTTCCCAGGGAGTGTCGGTAAAATCATCTCCGTCAAAGCGAATTAGAAGACAGCTCGGCAGTGCTACGCCGAGAGCCTGAAGATCTCCTCGTCCGGCGAGCCAAGCAAGAAGGATCCTCCCACCGTGGCTCACATCACCCACGTGGAAATTTCCGATCTCGACCCAAGGTCCGATTCACATGACGAGCGGCCAACCCCCATTGACGAGCTGGACGACCTCCAGATAGGGAAACTTCCCGGGCAGTGCACAAAAATCAGTAGGCAATTGAGCCCGGAATTGCGGTAGCAGCTCGAAGCAGAAATCCTCCAGAACGCCGACCTCTTCGCCTGGTCCAGCGCCGACATGCCAGGTATAGACGCTGACTTCATCTGCCACAGGTTAGCGATACATAAGGAGGCAAGGCCAGTGGCCCAGAGGAAGAGGAAGGTCAGCGGTGAAAGGCGGGAGGTCATCATCATCGAGACACAGAAATTGTTGAACGCTAGCTTCATCTGTGAGGTCAGATACACCACATGGTTGGAAAACGTGGTCTTGGTGAAGAAGAGCTCGGGGAAGTGGCGCATGTGCGTCGACTACACCGACTTAAACAAGGCATGCCCAAAAGACTCGTACCCCTTGCCAAGCATTGACAGGCTAGTTGACGGAGCGTCTGGACACGCCCTCCTCAGTTTCCTTGACGCCTACTCTGGGTACAACCAGATAATGATGTACCCACCTGACGAGGTGCATACGTCCTTCATCACCGACCACGCCAACTATTGCTACCGGGTGATGCCTTTCGGTCTCAAAAATGCAGGGGCGACCTACCAACGATTGATGGATAAGGTTTTCCACCACCAAATCAGGCGGAACATGGAGGTCTACGTCGATGACATGGTAGTCAAGACCACCTCGGCAGCAGATCATGCTTCCGACCTCGCCGAGGTGTTTGCCCAGATCAGGAGGCACAACATGCGCCTCAATCCGGAGAAGTGCGTCTTCGGCATCCAAGGAGGCAAGTTCCTCGGTTTCATGATCACAAGCAGAGGAATTGAGGCCAATCCCGAGAAGTGTAAGGCAATCATCCAGATTCAAAGTCCACAAACGGTGAAGGAGGTCCAACGCCTAGCCGGACGGTTGGTCTCACTGTCCCGTTTTATCCCCAGACTCGCAGAAAAGGCAGGGCCGATCTTTACTCTACTTCGGAAGCCACAAAACTTTCAGTGGACGGATCAGTGCGAAGAAGCTTTCCGAAGCTTCAAAACCTTCCTCACGACTCCGCCAATCCTATAGAGGCCTGATCACAAGACCGACCTCCTTCTCTACTTGGCCGTGGCAGAAAGCGCTATCAGCGCAGTGATTGTACAAGAGCACCAGAAAGTGCAGACGCCGATCTACTTCATCAGCCGAGTCCTCCAAGATGCGGAGAAGTTGTACCAAATGATCGAGAAACTGGCACTAGAACTTGTCACCGCAGCTCGGCGTGTCCGACCCTACTTCCAGAGTCACCAGGTGGTAGTCAAAACTAACTACCCCATCAAGCAAATTCTGCGAAAACGCGAGCTCGCCAGACGGATGATTGCATGGTCAGTAGAATTGTCAGGTTTCGGCATCCAGTACGAAAGTCGCGGACCTCTGAAAGTCCAATTTCTGGCCGACTTCGTAGCCGAGCTCACGCCTATTACCACTGAGGAACCTCAGGTATGGACTTTACACGTTGACGGGTCCTCCAACTCTAAAGGTGGTGGTGCAGGTATCATTTTGGAAGGGCCAAACCGAGTCACCTTGGAGCAATCCCTCAAGTTCAGCTTCAAGGTGACCAACAACCAGGCGGAATACGAGGCACTCCTCGCAGGACTAAGGCTAGCTCGCAACCTCGGAGCTCGAATAGTGAGTTGTAACAGCGACTCGAAGCTCATGGTAGAGAAACTCAGTGGGGCGTACCAGACAAAGGACACTCTCCTACAGCGGTACTTCCACATCGCATCCCACCAGATCTCGTCCTTTGACGAGTTCACCATACAGCATGTGCCGCAAGAATAGAATACCCGAGCTGACCTCCTGTCAAAGCTCGCCAGTACCAAAAGTCCTGGACAGCACCGAACCATCATCCAGGAGACCTTGCATTCACCCAGCTTGGATGACAAAATCGTCAACGTTAGTGATAGCGAAGACCAGGGGTGGATGACAGGTATTTGGAATCACTTAAAGGAGGGCACCCTCCCCGAAAATAAAGACAAAGCTCAGAAAATGAGGTTGAGATCGGCTAAGTTTGTCATTATCGGGGACGAACTATTCAAGCGCGGTGTTTCCACTCCACTGCTCAAATGCTTAACCGCGTCCCAGGCAGCCTACGTCATCGAGGAAATTCATCGGGGCACATGTGGCATGCATTCTGGAGCACGCTCAATGGCGACTAGGGTACTTCGAGCTGGGTACTACTGGCCCACTCTGAAGTCGGACTGCCAAGACTACATCCAAAAGTGCAAAGAGTGCCAGCAGTTCGGCAACACACACCGGCAGCCACCCGAAGCTCTCCACCAAATGATGTCGGCATGGACTTTCTCCTAGTCGGGAATGGACATCCTCGGGCCATTCCCCCCTGCGAAAGGACAACTGAAGTTCCTCCTAGTGGCGATTGATTACTTCACCAAGTGGATTGAAGCATGCCCACTCGCCAAAATCACCACTGAGAACATGCAAAAGTCCACCTGGAGGAATATCATTTGCAGATTTGGAATCCCCGACACCCTCGTCACTGACAATGGCCGACAGTTCATCACACAGGGATTCGAGGACTTCCTCCGCGAGCTCGGCATCAAACATCTTCCGACCTCGGTAGAACACCCTCAAACCAATGGCCAAGCCGAAGCAGCCAACAAGGTCATTCTCCGGGAGCTTAAGAAGCGGCTAGGGAACGCTAAAGGATAATGGCCCGACGAACTCCCAAGCATCCTCTGGGCGTATCATTGCACCCCCCAGTTAACCACGCAAGAGACGCCTTACAGGCTGACCTAAGGAGCTGACGTAATGATCCCAGTGGAGGTCGGAGAGACTTCCCACCGACGTCGAGTTTTCAACAGCGAGCAGAACGCTCAAGAGTTGGCAGCTGACCTCGACTTGGTAGACGAGCTCAGAGACGAATCTCAAATCCACGAAGAAGCCTGCAAACTCTGAGCTTCCCGAAGTTACAACACACGAGTACGACCTCGCACTTTCCGGGTTGGCGACTTGGTGTGGCGATTACTAGGCGAAGCACAGAAAGACACGTCAGATGGGAAACTTGCACCCACTTGGGGTGGCCCTTTCCGAGTTACAGAAGACTTGGAAAATGGAGCGTATAGACTAAAAGAGCTTAACGGGAAGCCTGTACCGCGAACTTGGAATGCTACACATCTCAAGTTTTATTTCAGTTGAATTTTGTACGAATGAGCTGTGCACTCTTTTCCCGCCTCAGTCTTTTATCCCAAAAAATAGAAAAATGGGTTTTGGCTGAGAGGGTTTTTAACGTGGCACAATTACGTAATCAATAAAATGACTCATTCTGTTCAACTCGCATTCTCTTTGCATTATTTTACGTTTTACGCTAAACAGAGGTCGAGTTCGAACCTTGGTATGATTAAGGTCGAGTCTGAACCTTCACAAAAATTACTTAACGAAAAATCTGAGGTCGAGTTCGAACCTCGGTATGATTAAGGTCGAGTCCGAACCTTCACGAAAATTACTTAATGAAAAATCTGAGGTCGAGTTCGAACCTCGATATGATTAAGGTCGAGTCTGAACCTTCACAAAAATTACTTAACGAAAAATCTGAGGTCGAGTTCGAACCTCGATATGATTAAGGTCGAGTCTGAACCTTCACAAAAATTACTTAACGAAAAATTTGAGGTCGAATTCGAACCTCGGCGCTACTACTTAAGGTCAAGTTTGAACCTCCACAATGTGTTACTTAACAAAAATACAAGATCAAATTCGAACCTTCGTACAAGACTCCACTTCAATTCGAGGTCGAATTCGAACCTCGGCGCTATTAACTTAAGGTCGAATTCGAACCTCCATGAAAAATTCACTCAACAAAAAATTGAAGTCGAGTTCGAACCTTTCCAAAGATACAATAAACACCGAGCATATCTCTCAAAACAAGAAAAAATCAAGCTTAAACGCAAAGGCAATAGAAAGCGCAGCAACAAGTAGACAAAAAAAATACGAACATACATAACCATGTTTATTGAGTTCAATACATGAATTCAAACAAAGGAATAACAAAGAAAAACAAAACAAAAATAGGCCTAGGCAGAAGCATTGTCACTAGAGCTATCGTCGACGTCATCCTCCTTGACCAGCTTCTCGAAGCGGATGACTTTCTCCACATTCATGGCAGAAAGGTCAGAACCTGGCGCGAGGAGCTTGGCTTGGCGGGCAGCCTTGAGGAAACCCTTCTGATGCTCAATCAAAACTGAGCGCTTGGTCTCCTCAAGCTTCTTCTCCAGCGTCGCCTTCTCCACCTCCAGCTTTGAAAGATCCATTCTCTAGGCGGCAATCTCCTCTTCTCGGCCACCAAGAATGACCTCATCGCGGAGACGCTCCTCCGCCGCCACTACAAGCTCGCCCCTCAGAAAGGACACTTCGTCCTCCAAAGAGCGAACTCGGCCTCGGGAAGATGCCACCTCATCTTCCAAGCTCCGCACCCGGCCTCGGGATGACGCAACGAGCCCCTGCAACTCGCCCACCTGGGAAGTATAATTCTTGTTGGAGCTCAGGGCAATCTCCAACGATTTCTGAACCCTGGCGACATCTACCTTCGCTGCTTGAAGCTCGGCGCCCTACATCTTCGCCTCGCCAAGGGCGGCACTCAACACCTTATTCTCCTCCTTAAGGACCTTGTTCTCGTCCTTCAAGGGCTTAACTCGGCCCCTCAGCCTATCCAGATCCTCCTGCTGTTTGGATCCCTTACGTTTCCAATGGTCCACAATTGCCATGGTCCTCTGCAGGAAGACCTGGGCGGCGTCAAAGCTCTCTACAGGCCCGGCCTCGTCTATCAACCCCTGGTCGCCTGAGCTCAGCGAACCCAGGGGAAAAAATTTCTCCGCGGTCACCCTCGCACTCCACAACGAATCCATGTCAGCCGAGGCGCTAACATGGTCCAACCTCACGTCGGAGCGGTCCTTCCCGAAGCGGTGGGTGATGTATCAGCTTCGGGAAGCCCCCTAGGACGGACCTGATGAAGGCGCGGACATGGCAGGCGTCGTCGCCGGAGTCTCGAAGCTCGGTCCCTCGCCACGAGCCTTGGCAGCAGCAAAAGCAAGCACCCCCTGCTCGACAATAAGAGGCTCCACATCAGGCGCCATCGACCTCGAGGGCACTGAGACCCCAGCAACGCCCCCTTCCTGCAAAAACTGACCTCATGTCAAAAAACAGAAGAATAACATACAAAATAGAGGGAAAAACAGAAACCGAGGTACTTACCTTGGCAGCCTGAGCGACCTGCCCAGCAACCAGGACCTCCACCTCGGCAGCTATACCTGCCTGTAAAGAGAAATAGTACCTCAAAAAAACAAGCCAAATCAACATAGAAAATAAATTAAAGTACAAAACACGTACCTCGGCAGAGGGAACAACTTGCTCAACGGTCCCCGCTATAGCCACTTGGGGAACCTCCCCAAGCGGAGGGCTCCCAGTGAGATCGATTCCGTCAGCATCCGCAGCCATGGAAGTCGCCTCCTCCGTTCCGCGAGGGGCAGAGGGCCCCCCCACCTCTTTCTCGCCCCGCTTTCTTTTTCGATTAACCTTCAGGGGGGACATCTCCTCCTCTTGAGGCTCGGGGACCTCAAGCTCGGCAAGATTGTACCGATGCTTTAGCTCCTTCCACTTACTCTTGCCCATTATACCTGCAAATACAAAAAACAAAACACATCAGCAAAAGAAGATTTTGCTAACCCTAACAATCTAAAGAGGATGAAATACTCACTCTCCAGGCCCCTCTCCTTGTATGCTGAGTTCGCAAGCGACAGAACGAGCTTGCAATCCAGCGGACGAGGAAGCGCTGCGAGGTTCTCGACGGCGGCCGCCTCCGAAGCCGTCAGCTTCAATTGGCCCACCCCATGAAACCTAGACGGTTTGGGGCAACAATAGAAGGGGAACTTTGGCAACCCGCCGAAGTAAAATGCCCCATCCTCCAATGGGTCGACGTCCACAAGAACAACTCGGAAAAACTCTTGCTTGAAGTTTTTATATGACTGGTAGTAGAGAGTAAACAAACCCCCATCCCTACTCCCACTCAAAGACAACATGCCGTATGGCGGAACGCCTATCTTCAACTGATAAAAATGAAGAAAGACGGGAAGGGACACCTCTATCCCTAAAACTGAGCACAAGACTTGAAAAGCCCTCAAAAAACCCCAACTATTTGGGTGCAACTGGCAAGGAGCCGAGTTGATAAAATTCAAAAAATCACACTCAAATTGAGTGGAAGGAAGACAGTCACCTAAATTCCTAAAAAAGCAATGATACACATAGAAATGGGGTGGGTCGGTGGACTTCTCCATGTACACGCCCTCACCGGCCTGACAAGGCTCAAGCCGGATCATCCGGAAAACGGAAGGG